TATTATTATTAAATTACTTACGAGTTTAATTTGTCAGCAACTTTCTGCCAGCCCTCTCTCCTTGCTTTTGCAGCCTTTGCAGTGTTCCCTTGCATTTTAATTAAACTCTGGAACTCCTGAAACCCCTCAATCAAGAGTTATTGCTCTGCTGCTGAAAAATACCGAGCGCGCTCCTTCGACATTTTCGCCGACCAATCAAAGGGTTGCCGATCAATGTTTCTACTATCGATGCGTAGCCCCTATTAAGCCACCCAGTGATCTCACATTACTTCATCCAGCTAAACTAATCGTCAACAACAGGTGTGTTCGAAGAACCGGAATAGCGAGCTCAAAGTTAGCGCGATGATCTGATCTTGGATGTAGTAAGCGAGGTACGAAGAACGGCCCCTGGTTTACACCTAGATGAGGACCTTTGTCATTTCCTATTATTTCTGTAAGATACACAACCATTCATCTGCTCAAGTTTGTAGGGGCAGGAGTCAATCCAAGCTGGCATCAAGTGAGAGGCAGGGTACACTCTGAATAATGAATAGGTCACCTGTAGCAGATTTAGAGTCATTAATTAACCAGCCCTACATGCCTGTGGGACAATGCTTATGCAAGACAGGAAGAACATGCTGGCTCCACAACAACAAATGAATGAATAACTCACACCTCTCTGGTTATCTCAAAAGACTCTTTATTGGTTCAGTCACAGACACCTGTTTGTTGCATCTGTATTGGACAGTATAAAAACACATGATAAAGAAAATATACAACAGATGTATAGCACCAGGTTCTTCAACAAACAAAGGGCTGATGGTTATTTATCAAATGACAGAGACTTGCCCACCTCCTTTATGTTGAAACGGCAACCACAGTGACATGCATACAACGGTAGTCGGGTTACAACACACCCTAAAGGGTGAAGTTTTTGACCTACAGCTGGACACCTTGGATCTGCCCGTCTCTGAACAGATGGCAGAAAAACAATGACATTGATCCAAGATTAGTGTTACCCCATCAACTCTCAGGCCTAGTCCTAGCTGAGCTCCTGTGGAGGTCGGCGTCCCTTGCTGCAACTTAAGAAAATAACAGAAAATCCAGGGAAACAGTGACAACTCAACATTTAAAAAGTAAATAATGCTATTACGTGTAAGAGGAAAAAAAAAAATTCTTATATTTTTGTTTCTCTGATGAGACCAACGCAGGTGGGCAAACATAGTTTGTATAGCAGAATCCTTTAAGATCACATTACATGGCTATGGAAACAACTGAAGTAACATCCCAGGCCACTGGTACTCATGTACATCCATTCGTCTGTCAGCAATAAAATAATTACTACATACTGATAAATCATCTGGATTTGTATTGCACCAAACAGATTCTAGTTTTACAGTAAGGGGGGGGGAGTGGTAGTGGGAGATGGGATGTGCAAAATATGGGAGGAGGAATCTGCGTAGTGGGATTAATCTCAAATATAGAGCCCCTTTCAGACGTGCACTCTTCGCCTTTGATCTGACAGCATGAAAACACGTAGGTTTCATGTGCGAAGGAAGACCCCGGTCACTCTTCTGTGAAAGCCACGACGGCAAAGCTTTTACTAATGTTGAACTTGCAACATTAGTGTATCAACTTCTACACTGCATGCGTCGCATTGCAACTTAAAAGGAACTTGCGAGATTAGGACAGCGACCGTATCGCGTGGACCTGCGAGTTGTTGAGCTCTCAAGTGAAAGACCCGAACAGAAATACCAGGTACACAATGAGATTTTATCTCGCCAACTCTGTTTCGAAACAACAACAAACATCTCTCTGAGCCTGTGCAGGAGAGGCAGGGTACAGCTCTCTCAGCAGGATACATGCAGTAATGGGTGCGTTCCACTTCCCACGTAGGCAAGTCTGAGTGATGTAAATTGCATCAGCAGATGGTGTGCAAGACATCTGCATGCCTGCCAATTTGCAGTGATGGCATAGACTTGCCCGCTGAGATGCTGCAGTTTACAAACAACATGTGCAGAAAGTAACAGGAAATGCTACTCGTCAGTGGTGTCTGCAGCTACTTATACGTGCAACGCACACGCTTAAGAAAAATACCCTGTTCATAGTGACAACAGCAGAAATTAATAGTTAAACAGCTGGTCAGGGAAAACTCATTTTTCCCCAGTAACTGGTGGTTGCCAACCTGTCTCTAGGATCGTGCCTAAATCTATGAGACAAACGCCCACACCCTCTTCACAGCTCAGTTTTTCAGATGATTTTGTGGTCCCAGTCGTCGGTTTCACATCATACTGAATAAAACGTAAAAATTCTAGTCATTCAAAGTTGGGAGGTCACTGGCTAAATATTTGTGAACAACAAGCGCAAAAAAAAAAAAAAAAAAAAAAAAAATCACAGATTAAATACGAGTAAATTGTGAGAAACAATGTAAAAGCACTCTACGTCTGACTGACAGGATGTCAGCACTTTAACGAAAAGCCAGCGGTGCATATATCACGTCTGAAAGGGGCTCAATAGTGCAAAAAGTCGATCTGACAGCAACATACAGTATATGCTTTGGGTGAAAATAATACGTTCTTAGAAAGATAACTGAATAAAAACAAGAAAGATCCCACAAACCATGAAATTAACCAGAAGCTATGTTCTACAACTGCATAATGCCATTTCTGTCACTTCACAGACACCTCTGCATTTTGTGGGGAATTGACAACTGAAAATGCTCTTGAAAAAGAACTCGTGACATCAAATATTTGGTTTTAGTACAGGCCAATTAGTGCATTTCAAGACACACTCTTACAGCTGTGGCCTTTTCACAGATAGCTACTGGAGTTAAGATTGGGTGTTAAGTGAACTGAAAGATTCCTTCATTAAAAGCCTGTTTTGGCTACTTGTTTGCGACAGCAGTAGAGAAAACAAAAGGCTCGGATTAAGAAAAAGTTTCAAATCAAATTCCAATATACTTTAAGCAAACCTAAAATACAGAAGCAAATATTAAATTACAAATTAAACATTCAAAACAGTGCCAAAGTACGAGTCACTATAAATAAAATAAGTGGGGGTTTTAGAGCTGGCATTGTGGCTTAAAGTAGTAAAAATTATGATAAATGTCAGGTTAAGATATACAGTAAGGGCTCATTTCCGAGAAGAAGTGTTGGTCTTAGTATCAGTAAAGGTACATTTTTAGGGAGATGGCAGTCGAGCTTTCATTCCTCTATGACCACTCTGACAGGGTTCACGGTATAAGCACTCTTTCCATTAAAACTCTGAAGTAACTATTATATTGATCTACTATACACCTTCAGAAAGACAAAGGCAAGATGACAAAATGTACATACATATCCATGGATAAAAATAGTGCAACATCAAGCTTTTAAGTTAGACTGCTACATAGCTGCTGATTGTAAGACTGAACCATACTGAGATGGCCAGTCTACGTGGTCAGCACAAAGTCCAAAGGCACCACGTTAAACCACAGTCCCTTTCCCAGGAAGAGGAGGCCTCATGCTTCAGTTAGCTTTCTGTCAGGAAAAGATAAAAGAACAAACGTTTATTGGGTAACTTTTGCATGGGCAAAGTCAATGCCTTCAATTCAAAGAAAAGAAAGAAAAGTAGTTACCAAGGACAAAGTCACGCCATCTCGGCCCAGTCAGGCCCCTCATTCGCGATTGTCTCAAGATTTTCGCTGGTGGTGGTTGTGGTGGTTCAGTAGACGCAACCCTGGGACTCTTGAATTTTCTTTTCTGCCTCCCTGCTGGCTTTGCTTCCTGCTCCTGGACTGATTTTGATGCAGAATCTGCCAACTCTTTCGAGGCAGTCCTCCTATTAATGCTCCTTTTTCTTTCAGTTTTCACAGCTTTAACGAATCTTACCAGTTGCCTGTCCTGTTCTGCAAAGAGGTATGCAGAAGGTGACCCTTCCAGTGTCACAGTACAAGAGTCCCACTCTTCCTCAGCCGATTCGCTATCAGGAGAGTTGATCTTCCTTAGAAACACCCGGCATTCTTTCAGCGTTTCAGGACCCCAGGCTTTGGAGCAGAGGTTCTGCTCTTTGTGTACATCCACGAGTTCCCGAGTTTGGCTAACCGAAGAGGCGGTAGAACCGTTTTCCAAACCAACAGAGTGCCGATCGTTTGTGGATGTGTATAATGCTTTACGTTTAGATTGTAGTCCAGTTACTATACGTTCATTTCTACAACATGATACTGCTTTTATGTTTCTCCTGTCCCTAGCCCCATTTTGCCACCTATCCCTTTCTTTCCGGGTTAGAAAACGTGTCCTTGCTCTAACCAGAGTGGCTTGATATATACTAAATGCTTTGCCTCTCAACGGCTGGACTTGGCGAGTGCGCTTGCTTGCAATGCTTAAAGTAAAAAGTTGTCGTCTGTGTGTTGACACAGCTGCTTTGTTTCTCTTCCTCAGCAGTCTCTGAGCCTTCTGATGCTGTAAAGGGCTTTTTGGCACCATTTTGGCAAACTTCTTGATGTGTTTGCGGAGTCGCTCTGCCTGAGGACTGTGGCAAACACTTTTTGCATTAGCAGAACGAGGGAAGTGCATAAGTTCGTAACGATTACGGGAGCTTGCCTTCTTGACAATGGCCAGAGATTGTGTCTCGGTGGTCTCCATAAACCAGGAGCAGATCTGCTGCATGCTACAGGACCTTGGTTTGTTGGGCGAACAGTCAAACAGTGTTCGGACCACAGAGAAATGATTTGAATTCTTGGCAAATAAACTGCTGTCTTTAGTGCCTAGTTTAGAATCGAGGGCCAATTCTTTTTCTTGGTTGTCCACAGCGTCTGAGACCCAAGTGTCAGAGATGACTCTTATTCGTCTGGCGAGCTCCTGGTTCATTGTCTTTTCCTCAGCTGATGCTGCCCACCACCTTAATGTCTCTTTAGACCTAAAGATCGAATCAACAGATACCCCTGCCAATCTGCTTACGTCTAGAGAAACACCCTTCTTCTGTGGTCCACATGACTTTCTCTTCTCACCTGAAGTTTCGAAACTACTTTGCTGCTCATCCTGTCTCCTTTCACTGTTTGCCTTGTTTAAAAGAAGTTGTTTAGAGCGTCGTACCAGCGCATTGCTGCGGCTGTATGATGTAGAGGTGGCAACAGCATGCAAAAAGTGTATTGATGGCTTTCTCACTCTCTTGGAGTGTCGTACTACAGGCTGATTGGGGAGTTCATCTTTACTACCATCCTCTGTTTCTTTCCCTTCTTCTTTCTGACCCCTTTTGCTCATTAACTGATGACTGATTGTCCTGGGCTCTTTGGCAGACATGAAGTCTTGTAGAAGTACTTTCCTAGGAGCCAGCATTTCAGGAGACTGCCTATTCTCTTTATTGATTTGAATTTTACGTTGACGAGGTGACACTGTGGTCACTGTGACTGAGATTCCAGAGATTTTAACCTTTGCAGGTCTACCTGGTTTCCTTGAGCGAACAGAATCATCATGCTTTTGACATTTGATGTTACTGCCAGATTGAGGAGCAGGCCTTTTCGCTGGTCTGACAAAATCCAACTCCTCTGAGGTTGTTTTAATACTACCTGAGCTGGTCTTAGAGTTGTGCAATAGACTTACGGCTCGCCAAGCGTCATGAAATTCTGTTTGCAGCTGGTCAAAGCCCTCTGACACCAATCGTTTGTTTCTCCTCGAACGGCCATATACGACTGTTATCTTGAGGTTTTTAGTTGTATTCTCCTCAATATTAGGTGCCAACTGACAATTACCATTTACCATTTTAACATTTTTAGGTTCGGAATCCAAAGTCTTCTGCTTACGGGGTCGGCCAATTGGCCTTTTTGCTTTTTGCTCCAGCTGTGGTCCCAGTTTCTTCGGACGCCCAGGACGCCTTTTTGGTGGAGTGGTTTCATGAAAAGAAGTCGAGTTACCTGATAATCCCTGGCTGTCAGCTCCAGCTACGCGCTTAGTTGGAGTACCTTCACCTGATCCTCTGGAAGCATCTTTAGGTGATGAGGAAGGGGACCTGGGCAAAGAAGGAGACTTGCGTGGTGAAGAACCGTACTTGGGTGTTGAAGAACCAGACTTGGATGGTGAATTAGCAGACCTGCGTGTTAAGGAAGCAGATTTGCTTGGTGAGGAAGAGCACTTCGATACTGAAGAATCAGACTTGTATGGTGAATAAAGAGACTTGGGTGTTGAGGAACCAGATTTGGCAGGTGACAAATCACACTTGGGTGTTGAAGAACCAGACCTGCGTGTTGAGGAACCAGACTTGGCTGGTGAAGAAGATGACTTGGTTGGGGAACAAGAAGACCTTGTGCATGAGGCAGAAGATTTTAGTGGTGAGACAACTGATTTTACTTGTGATATTGCAGGCTTTTTGCTCTGGATTGTGTGCTTCTGAAGTGTCCCTGACCATGAAGACTCTTCACAGGGATCAAAATGTTCTGTTTGTGAGCCAGAACCAGAGCCTGCTGATTTGAGACTGTATTTAACTCCCTCTTTATCCTTTACTGGTGATACAAACATAAGTTTAATTGGACTAGTGTACTGGACTTGGGAATTTTTAAGACTCTCAAGACAGGTATCAGAATTTATAGGGACATCCATATTTGAGGAGTCCTGTACTCTTTTTGATGATGCTGATCGTAACCGTCCTAAGAGAGGGACAACACGGTCACTACTATTGTTCTCTTTGCCTGAGCGATGTTTTTTAGGACTTTGGTCTTTCGCAGTCACAATCTGTGGAGTGACCTGGCTTTGACTTTTCACTTCCATGTGAGATAGTTCATGTCCTTTTTCTGCTGACTGAAAGGCAAGCTTCCCTGTGTTCACACATGAGGACAAAGAAACGTCATTTCTGGATTCTACGTTGGCATCCTTAGCATCTGGATCTTTTGATGACATATGATTGGTGCTAGATGAAGCCTTGTCCTTTTGTGCTTTCTGATTAAAGATAGGTTCAGAGAAACACGCAACAAAGAACATACGTCTGGGCTCTGTGACATAGGAGGAGAACCGCGGTGGAGGGACTATATTTCTCCTTGATCTTCTTGCACCCTCAGAAATGTTAAGCAGATGACACACTCTCCCTTTAATAGCACAAGCTTTCCTTTTACCTGATCTTTCAGCCTCAGTGGTTTCACTTGATGGGGATCCCTTGTGGCTTTTGTCATTTGTAGAACTGCAACCCTCACCACCTTCTTTGCAGGACAAAACACACTGTTTAGCTGAGCTTGTAGCCACTGTATTCACCTGTTTTTGTACACTTGAACTTTGTTGGTCATTGTTGTTCTGTATCTCAGGGGTGCATTTAGGTTTTTCAACATTCTGGCGATGACGGGATCTAGTAACGGGTGACTTGGATTCTTTGTCTTGGCGACTAAACAGCTCACTCAAGCTGTAATCACTGGGACTGCTTGTGCGAAGCACTGTGGTGATGATCTCAGTGACATGGGCATCAGCACGAAAAGGCAGGTTGTAGCTGGTTGAGGGAGATAACGGCTGCTCCTTTTCAGAAACATAGATAGCCGTAGAAACCAGAGTAGGGTCCTTGTCTAGAGGTGTTATTGTCTCCAGTTTCTCACTAAAACGATCCATGACATCCTGCAGTGAAGTCTCACTTGGATTCTTATCAGCCTGACTTCTTTCAGCGATCTTACTTTCAGCATCTTCTGTAGTTGCATTGACATCTGAGGCTTCGTAGCTTGCAGTTACAAAACTCTGTACCATGAGATTAACATCCTCCTCTTGGTGAAGCAGAGAGGGTGGGTTTTCATCACATTTCTTACCGAAATCTGACGGGATTGGGGAAAGAGGGGGAGGAGAGGGACTCTGCTCTCTCTTCAGAACAGGACAAGGAGGGTCTCCATCTCCTACCTCTCCATCTCTTGTTTTCTTGATTTGGAAGCTGCGTTTCTCACAACATATGGAAGAGGACGAGCATAAATTAGAAGAGGGTGTGCAAGGCGAATGGAACGATGCAGGAGAGGCTGCAACAAGACTCTGACACGAAGTGCAATGCAGCTTCTTGGAACATAAAACAGTGTCCCTTTCGTTCCTGAGCATCTCTTTTTCATGGCAAGCATACTTGAGGATTTGGTAGATTAAGGATTGGTGAGCTGGGCAGAGAGAACTCAGAACATCATCCAATGTGGAACATTGACCAAACTTAGTCCCTCGCTGTTGCTGACCTGCCTCGTCTTCTGTGAAAGATGGCACCAGGGAGCTAGAGGTAAAAGGTAAAAACTGGAGTTAGAATGTTTTACTCACAAAGTTTCAAATGAGAAAAAAAAAAAAAAGGAGCATGCACACAAAATAATGAAGACTAAAAATTTCAGCAGCAAGCACATTTAAGTTGCATTTGTTCCATAACAGCACTGCCTGAAAGTTTGTCATTTCTGACTTCCATATATTTTATAGATGAGACTGGAGTTCGTGCTGGTTGCAAGACTGCACCCGCATTATTAGAGTTAATGTAAAAATGTGATAAGCAGCTTAAGATGTAGGCAAAATATTGTGATGAAATGATGGTAATGTATCCTTACAGAAATCAATGTTTGAAATAAGCTTAAGAAGAAAAAAAGTTACACAGTAAATTTTTTTGGCAGTAGACTTGCTAGCCATCAATAATGAAATAAAATGAACTCTGAATGGTACAAAACTTTCAGCTTAAATAATAACATTTGGAGAAAAAAAAAGTGGAATGTAGCTTGTAGTGCAAGATGTTTTTGTGGTTTATTACACCAGGAAAACGATATTGTAAATGCAGCCTATTTAGCAGCGTTTGCCGTGTAGTTTTTCCCCCAAATGCACTTTCATTTTTGGAGTGCCACTATAATGTTGATGTATTGCAGAAGGAAGTGACATGATGCATTGCTCTACATTGTGTGAATGTGTGTGTGAATGGGTGGATGACAGGTTGTGTAAAGCGCTTTGGGGTCCTTAGGAACTAGAAAAGTGCTATACAAATACAGGCCATTTACCATTTTACCATTTACTGGATTCTAGCCCTTGTAAAAAGTTGTAAAACCTTTGATCTGCAGTACAACTCTGATAACTGTAAAGCAAACCATTATTCTAGAAAAAAAATAACAACAGGCGATTGATTAAAGAACTGTTTTATTGATTAGTTGCTGAAGGCAAATGATAACATTCTGCTAACAGCAGAAGGAATGATTGAAGAAACGCTCAACTTAACTTTTTTTTTTTTTTTTTAAAACCAACAGCACTTTCATCAACAAACCAACAGTTCAAAAAGCCCTCTAATTTTCATAACAGCCAGCAGGTCCAAGAAGTAAGATATTTAATTATAGAATCAAGTAACTGATTTAATATCAACCTATTTTCAAGTTTTTACTTTTTCTCTCCAGCAATTTAAGTACTGTTTGCGGCCAAACCATGTCAGGTTTCAAGAGGCCAGGTTTACGTGTTACATTCTGTAGTGTTGAGTCAAGTTTCCACTGCAGGAACTTTTCACTGAAGGAACCAGGGTACAATTACAATTCTGGGGTGTACCTCCAAGAGAGTCCTTGCTCAGGAGGTAGAACAGCAACTTTGGTGGTGGGGTTCAAGCTAAACTTTTCTGACCGACTTGTTAAATAATTTCTTCCAACTACTGGGCAGTTTGCTGTATTGTTGCGTTTAATTTAAAAGCGGTGGTGGTGGGTCTCGAACAGCCATTGCTGTTTCATACATGAGCAGTTTACAGCAATTTCATGTTCTTTGTCTTGTTTGACAGGTTGCTAATTTTCAAAAATAGTGCTTATTCAACATTTAACCTAACAGCATTGAGCCCCACTTGAAGCTTTTCTGGGCAGGAATATCTACCCTCACAAATTAGTCCTACAACTGGAACATATACAAAGGTGTATATGTTGCAAAACCACCTGCCCATCTCCGCCTAGTTTCTGCGGTGGAAACTTTCCAAGTACTTTAGGTGTTACAGAGGCTATATTGTTGAGTTTGTTATGACAAATTATTCTTTAAAATCATTAAAATAATTTAATAGTAACAAAATCACTAAACAATCACAATAGTCAGCAGTATAATTTCTGGACTAAATAAATTATATGAGCTAACATTTAAAAGCATTCATGCAATTGTAGCAATACACATTTCACAATGCATCAAAGTGCCCCGTTACAAATCAAGAACTACCACAATATTTAAAAAAATAAAAAAATAAATCACAGTTCTGAAGCGCAATCAATAAATAAATATGCCATAACAACACAAAACAAGTTTCTAGAAAAAAACAATTTTGTTTTATAAATCATAGTGCAATAATTGATTTATGCATAAATAGCAGAATTACGTTGCCTCAAAGATTTGCCAGCAGTTCAATCAAAAATTAAAAAGCCCTAATCTCAAAGCCCAAGTGTGTTCCCAGAATTAGCTGCAATTAAACAAATACAATGATGTCCTTTTTCAATTTCTCAGGGCGTGTTCGGAGTCATTTTGATATAAATAGTAGATAACTCCCAAAATAGAGACATGCTGTGCTGAGCTGTCGCCATAGATACCGGCACCATGTACCGCAATAAGAACAGACATTCAGAAGTGGAGACAACAGTTGCACAGCTGGAGGAATTACAAAGGTTGAAATGCCACAATTTTGTGACTGAAGAACTTTTAAAAACCGACATTAATAACAAAAAATAAATAAAAAAGAAAAATCTGTAAATGCCGCAAGACAGAATTTCAACCTTAAAGGGAAAAAAAAGGAAAAAAAAAAGATTTTACACGCCACATGGCTAGTTTTTTTTTTTTTAAAGTTTAAGTGTTGTTGATAGCAGTGAATTTACAGTTCGCTGTTTCTTGAGAGATAAAGAACTCATACAGATTTTAAGCTTGATTTGAAACCTAACACTGGGCTATAGGCAGAGAATGTTCAGAGGTATATGTGGCAACAGGTTAAAGACGGTGAGAGAGAGAGAAGGGGGGGGGGCAGGCTGACATTGCAGCAAATCCAAAGTAAAGCAGCTTTGTGTGGGTAACCCTGAAATGCTGCTTTGGTAGTAGCACTGTTAATGGCAAAAAGCCCATTCTAGAGGCAGACATGAGTGTAGACGAAACTTTTAGCATTTTTACAGACGCAGACAAAGAAGCCTTAAAAGCCTGACACTGAATAGCCGCGTGGTCGCCGTTTAAACATTTCACTAAAAACCTAAACTACCGAAACCTCCAGTAGCTGACACAGTCGACCATCTATAACATTAAGACTACCCATAAAACAAATATTAATATTAGGCTTAACGGTATTACTGTTAAAACGTTAACTGAAATGAGTTTTTCTTGTAGCTACGCATCCATGTGCCAGGAAAACAGTCCCGTAAAAGTTAAGCAGCGGTCATGGTATGAGGTTTGCAGTAATACAGCTACAGTAGCAGAATTAGTAAATATCTGTGATAATAAAAGAACATCTTTCACAAACGGTACAAATACACAATAATATACAGTTCCCAAGCTTATCAGTGCACATTTAAAACATGCTGCACGTTTGCATTCCAACTACACTCAATACAGTGTTTAGATTAGCTTGTAGAGAATGAAAGGAAATATGTGGACACAAAATGGCTTTTTTAAGCTAATCTCTTGTACAAAAACTCATAATCAAGATGTAGCCACCACAGCATATATAGTGTACAAGCTCCCTGTTTGTAGAGGTCTCTAACAATAGAAATGAGTTTTTAAATAGTTTTAATGGCTCTAAGTCACTTGAAAAGCCTAGGTATACATACCCAGAGAGATAGAAAGCTGCAAATCACAATCATCAATGCTCCATTACCAAGGAGCTTTAAGAATTGAATTAAACCTGAATAACCTAATAACCTAACAGCTAACAAATATGACAGTCACACTTTATTTTTCAGCCTTAAAAGGTCTGCAACTGTGTTTCTCATACTTGAGTCTTGAGCAATCTTTTTGGGCAGCCATCATTGTTTGTTTTTCCTCCTTGAGAAAAGGATGTACAACACAGTACGACTACCCTGAAGGTAAAATAACGATGCATTAATTTTATTCTATATCACCAACAGATTCTCGTTTTAAAAAAGCCTTTGTTTTTAATTCTGTTGATCAATCGTGGTAGTAAAAATTACTAAGTGATCTAATGTTAAACTATGAATAGGTTACATTTTGTTGAACATTAACTTATCGATGATTTAATTAGATGTAATCACATACTGGTATCTTAATAACCAAGCCACGAAACTCCACAGCAGTCCCAAACGGAAAAAAACAAACAAACAAAAAATAGAAAAACAGTATTCTGACAATAGTACAGTGAAACGAAAGGAGATGGTGAATTAAGAGGTTCAGTACCTCAGGCTCTGATCCGAATTCATTTACCACGTTGGTCTATCCATAAACAAAGTAAACGATCTAAATCATTCGACTAGATCAAGATGAGCAGGACTTCTACCTGAATAAAACAGTACTGTTTATGGCTGCTTTAACCAAAGGACTCAGAACGAAGCAGGAGAAATACAGCTTTAAGTATGACTATCACATCACAGACAGAGTTAAAAGACCTGAATATTAATATCCGTGTAGTTTGTAAAGGCATGTGTTGTGTTTTAACAAGTGTCTCCAGAAAACATTTATCTTGTAGGAGGTGATGTGTTCAAGTGTTGAGGTGTTTTTGAGGCGTTTGTGGTCTAGAACCTCTTTGCGTCAGCAGCTGAGGCAAGACTCCCTGAGTTAGTGGAACTGGTCGTGCTACCAGAACCAGACGAGTGAGAACTGGACAAACAGAAGTTGGCAGATTTCTTCTTAGGTGGGTTCTTCAGTGTTCCAGTACGCTCTTTCACTTTGTATTCTAGTGTGCTATGGGGCACCCCATAAACCCCCTGGGCTTTAGACACACTCATGCGACCAGCCATCACCATGGTGATGGCCTCCTCCATCAGTTCGTGGTCATACTGGCGGTACCTCCCACGCTTCTTTCTAGGTTGCTTGTCTTTATCCCGGCAACCTGCCCCATCTTCTGACTCATCCAGTGAGGATCCACGTGGTCCCAGGCGATGAGGTGACTGGCTGGCACTGCCTGGACATCCTTGTGCCAAGAGTGGAGGTCTGAGTTTGAAGAGAGATGAAGGTCTGGCAGCTGCTGTTGATGAACTGGCAGTACCTTCGCTTGATGAGGTACGTTGATGTAGGTTTTCAGCTATGCTGCAATTCTCAGCTGACACTGACCTTTTGTGGTCAGACGCACAACGAACCTGAGGAATACGCAGGGGTGTGGGTGGCTCCAGACTGGGGGTGGGGCTTGGAGGGGGCTGGAGAGCATCCCTGAGCTGGGGAAAACAGTGAGGGAGGGTCTTCTGTAAACTACCCGGCTGATAAAAGGCAAGAACAGATGAAGGGAAACTAAAGTCCCCATGCTCCTCGACAGCACCTCCAATTTCTGCTCGCTCTGCCCATGCTGCCACTTTCTGCAAAACAAGGCGTGCTTCGCCACCCAGCATTGTTGACATCACATTGCATGATGTCACTTCATCCCTGATATCTCTGCTTCCTGCTTTAAGCTGATGCAGCACTCCCAGCCTCCCTTCAGCCCAGCCATCCAGACCCTGTCTCAGGGTTTGAAGGGGTATTCCATAAAGCAACGCAGCCCGCTGCTCCTGCAGCCTTCCTGATCGTATATCCTTCAAGGCCTTGGACAGCAATCCCTCAGACAGCTCCCAGCTCCTCTCAGTGTATTCCTTCTGCCTGCACTGCCTCCTAGGGATGTGAGGACCAAACAGCAGGGTCAGGATGGAGGTGATGGAGGTGGTTTGATTTGTGGCATAGGGGACAAGGGGGTGCAGAGCGAGGGGTCCACTCCTTTATGCCTTGTGTTGGTAACATCACTGCGACTGTTAGTTTCATGTCTGTATGTTCTCAGTCTGTTTGTGGGCCCTCACACGCACGCACACACACACTGCTGCTGTGTGTCTCTCACACACAGCAGCAAAGCCTCTTCACGTCCAGGTGGGACAGTCTGTGAATGGCTGGGGTTACTTTGGTGCTCACATAAAACCCCTGTAGTTTTGGGATATCCAGTGAAAGTCCTACATGCTTGAAGATTGGATAATCAAACTCATCATTAATGTATTAGTAAAAACGGACGTAAAATGGTTGTGAAGTACTGAAATGCTCTCCTCATTATACAATCCTGAGCTGCTGGCAAATGTTATAATACGGCCATTGCTGTGACGTTACCGCTCAAGAGATAAAAGAGTAAACCCCATAGAACCACAACAACAAACACAAGCTAGCTCCTCACAATTTATTACAATTACTTGAACCAAAGAACTGCTGAAACAGGAATGTGTGTATTTCAGACTGAACAGGTGCTATTTAGCTGAGAAGTGAGCATGACAGTAATAAACACAGTGCTCATGCTAACCTCTTAATCTTTGCCATGCTATATAGCTGTTGTTGTACCACACTCTGAAATGTGGATTTGCTGCAAACCAAAGTGATTTTTCTAGTCATAGGATATGGGCCATAGTTATGTAAACGGCATTCTTGTTTTTGTGAAGAAGACCCAGATTTAACTAAGAGTAGGGATAAGTCAATAGGCCAGACACATTAAAATGCAGTCAGAGAACTACAAAAACTTACCCTGATCCCCTGTGATTCTCTGATGATGATGAAGTTGTTGAGCAGGCAGAGTTCCGGTTGGAGAGGTCCAGCACACCATCTGTTACAAGACAAGTGTCAGAGTCTGAGTGCCAGTTGTTTGGTTCCTTCAGGAGGATGTCCATGTTACAGTCAGACATAACATTTAATTTTATATGCGTGCACTAAATGCGTTCTCTACCTTCGATCGTGTTCTCCTCCTGAGTTCGGTTCACTGTGAGGTCCAGAGGGGCGTCAGATGCTTCGGACGCGTCAGACAAGGGTGATGAGGTCCTTGTGACACCATTTGTATTGGTGTGGAGCAGGCACTTGGATGCATACTCCTTAGCAAATGTGGTTATCATCTTCTTCATCAGCTCCTGAGCAATCTGAGGTATGTTGGAATCACTGCTCAGGTGCACATCTAACAGGAGGAGAAAGAAAAAAAATACAATTAAAATCACTGGTTTCAATTTTAACATGCATTATTTAAAGGACTAGAAAACTGATCTGAAAAACTGATCTAGAAAACAGTGTTTAAACAGCGTTTTTAATGAGATATTGAAATTAAATCCACTGTAACAAAAAATGTCTTCTGATGTTACCACACTAGAAACAAGTCTCAAAAGCATCCTAAATCTTTGGGAACACTTAGTGGGTCATGAATAGCAGAGATTTGACATGCCAATTACACCACAGTAACCGCAATGTGTATTAGGTCAATAATGTAATTCAGTTCATTGTGTACATCAGTAGACAGGAACTGTGAGATACTCTCTGGTTATTCCCCACATTAATATTTATGTCAACTTTGGCAGCTGTTTTCAGTATAGGAGCTCTTAGTATATTAACAGTTCTACATAACAACGAGGTTGTCCAAATCCACCTGACTCACCTTTCTTCTGGAACACAGCTTGGAGGAACTTGTGTGCTGATTGGGTGCTCTCAGAGATGGTTGGGGCCTGACAAGGTGAGTAATCAGAGGGGGAGGAGAGGGGCGACGTGGCTGCAGGTGCTTGATCCTAGAGAGGATGATAAAGAGGAAAAAGAAGAAGATACAGAGACAGAAAGGTGATTACTTATTTAGAATTATTTTTTACTCTAGGGTGCAGAGAAAAGAAAGAGAACCTCTCTGAGGCTTATCAAAACTAAAGTCCTTACACTAGATTTGTCCAGGAGCACGTTGCAGAAAGAGCACGGAGAGCAGTTTGATTCTGGAGACCAGTCATCTACCTCTTCCGGTTCACAGTCTGAAAGACACAATATCGCATAACCATGTATTACAGTACTGCTGATGGATCAAACCAAAACTGACAACAGGCAGCAGGGGTTTCTATTCTGTTTCCTTATACCAGCCACTTCAAATGCTGCTGACACAATACTAATCTCATTATGAGCCACGCTATCATATATAGACAATACACACGGAAGAATGACTAGAGTTTTTCATAAGTGGCATCTAAAAATAAATTAGCTGCTAATGTTGATTTCAATAGAATGGTTTTGATTAACAGTTTATCATGCTTGTCTTTTTTTTATAACCAGTTAAAGTGACCATCACTCCTGCCTCAATGAACTCTACATAACTGTTTAACACCCCCCTTTTTTAAGGCGACAAAATACACTGAACAAGAACTGCTTTTACAGCTACTCTCAACCAGAACGTTTGTTGCAGTAGCTCATCTATTGCAGATCAGTGCCTGTAAAATGACAAATGTGACCCTGAACACAAACTGTGTGAAGCCCACAATCAGTTTGATTTAATTCCAACTAATACTGTAGAAGGTGTAGTGAATCGTGTGAATGCGGACAGCAGAGGTGGGTAGTAACGAGTTACATTTACTCCGTACCTTTTTTGCACAATACTTTTTACTTTTACTTGAGTACATTTGTGAAGAAGAAACGGTACTTTTACTCCACTACATTTGCAAAATTCGACTCGTTACTTTTTTAAAAATACTTAGTTTAACACATTAGATAACATGCCACCAGTGGAGTTTCCGGTAAATTTTTTACCAATCAGATGTGGCCATGCAGTCACATGACCAGTTTGAAACTGTGGCGGGCAGAGCGGCCCGAGCGTTTCAAAGTAGCGGACACACGGAAAGAAGAAACACATGAAAACATGGCAGAGCCAACTGTCTACGCTAGAGCTGAAGAGGATGAACACCCTTTGCCTCATATACAAAGAATGTTTTGCTTAAAAGCAATACAATATATATATATATATATAAATATTTTATTGCACGAACGTGATAATTATATTGTATGAACATGATAATTATGTATACTGTAATAACGTGATATTATATTGTTCAAACGTGAAAGGTATATTGCACTAACATGAAAAGTATATTGTTAGAACAATAAACTTTTCACGTTATAACGTGATATAGCTCTATTTTTCTTTTGCCTGGGTGGCAGCTCTACGCTTATGTACTCGGATGAGCTTGCCACAGTTCTACAAGTTGTGCCTCCATCTCGTGTCCATATCAAACGCTGCTCCGCCTTTTCACTTTCATTTCTGTGTTTGTGCATGCGCAGTTTGAGAGGGTGCGTTGAGGGGCAACAGGATTTCAAAGAGGTTTGATGTTCTTGCGACCCTACGATTGATGATTGGGAGCTGGTCGTGAGCTCTTAATTGCTTTTCGTTACCCCATGTATACTACACGATGCACAACACACGGTTAAGGCGAAACTCGGGCCGATCCCCAAAACGGTTGCGCGACTGAAAAATCGGCTCAAAATGGGCCAAAAAAAAAAAATTGCACAGTGTATGCCCAGCTTTTGAAAGCTAGCTTCATCCGTCTCCCTCCCCTGTGGTTGGAAGGGGTGGGTTTTTATCTTTTTGCAGCCAGACTGAGGTGTTTGCCTTCTCAAGACAGCCATGGAGAGATTAGAGGCTACATCGTAGCTCCAGTCACGGCTTCCATCACTGTCTTTCTCGTCTTTCCCAGAGTAACAGCCAAACAGGAGGATCTAATGGCTAGCACTGCTTAGCCTTGCACGCGTTCTTATTTTAAACTTAATCTGGAATTCATTGCAAAGTGTTTGTGCGGGATATGAATGACAAGATTTTGTTTTTCAACAAGAGTTGGTAAAAAAACATCTCCAGTGTGATCAAATTTTCTTGCCAAACATCCGCAGCTTGGCAGTGTATACAGCACTATAATGACCAGAGCTAATTCTTTTGAAAACCATACATCATACAGGTCTCAACTTCATCAGACATAACCTAGACACAGAGCTGGATGATGCCAGTACAAACAGCGGCCTAACCGACGAAGATGATGGATCCATGGGGGCAGGAAAGCCAGAAGCAGGGGAGCTGGAGAGGTACCTTTCATGTCCATTCACTGGAGGTGTGGATCTATTGCATGGCTTTCCTCACATTAAGAAGCTGTCAATCAAAATCAATACAGCTCTTCCTGCATCTGGAGCTTGTGAAGGACTTCTCAGTCATGCAGGACTCCTGTTCATTGCTTAATAGTTACAGCTTCACAGAAAGAACCTTGAGAGCAAACTGCTGCTGAAGCTTAACCATCACTTCACTGAGTGAAGAAATGGCACATTTTTGCTAAATATCCAGAAAATGCACACCCATACAACTTATGGTAAACTGAGCTGCCTTGTATGTACATATGTTGAAGATGCCTCGTTCTAATGTTTTCTCTGAGGCTGCTGTGCCATTTGGAGCAAAAATGAATATAAAGTTTACAGCATATCTTGTCACTGGAAATTGTTTGCACTGTTTATATATTTATATTATTTACTGTAGGTATTGGTGAAAAAAGCTTTATGTTGTGAAAAACTGAAATCAGAATTGTGCCTTATTTTGTTGATGTTTTTACATATATTCCTTTTGAAAATACTAAAATTTGTATATTTATTTATTTTTGTTTGTCTGATAACATTTATTTATAAAATAAACCGGACATTTCAAACAGTTACTGACTACTTGAGTAGTCTTTTCACCAGGTACTTTTTTACTCTTACTTGAGTAACTTTTTTGACGACTACTTTTCACTTTTACTTGAGTAATATTTTAAAGTAATGCTACTCTTACTTGAGTACAATTTTTGGATACTCTACCCACCTCTGGCAGACAGACACATGATGCCTCATCATGGTATATGCACAACTCACCTCTTGTCTGATTAGATGATATAGCATTAAAAAGAATACTGAAAATATAATTTTCCAACCTTATACATTGAGCTGTAAATGTATAACAGAATAAAATGTCCTATAAATTATATATTTTATATTATCTGCATATGACCCATTACCCCAAATTGTTTTAGATACATTTTAAGTAACCATCTTGCTCTAATCCAAGTGTATATTACATGAATACATCACTGATTGAAGAAGTGATTAAAATCAGACTTTAGATATGATGCTGCATTAAATGTAAATGCCTACAGTTGCCAGTAATTTTACTGTTGCCAATAATGTGCTGCACGCTTGTATTTAAACAGCAGCATCAGCTGCCACTGCATTTGACTTTTTGAGCTAAAATGTTTCTGAGGTTGGATGTACCTACACCCATCAGCAGTTTACTTCATATCATGGAAAGCCTTGCTATGATTTTCTTAAAGGTACATGTAATATCAGTTTTCCAGAATAATTTTAGACCGATGCCTAAAATACTATGAATTAAAGTGTAAAGGATATTTTGGTACTTTGAAGGCACAATTTATATGAATTAAGTATATTTTAATTTCATATTGTTAGTACCGTATTTTTTTGGACCATAAAGCGCATTAAGTGAAACAAGTGTTAGCATTTATCCTCCAGCTTCACTGTTTATGTTATGCTAACATAGCTATGTTGCTAGCGATCACATAGCACAGCATTATATACCAGCTAGTCCAACTTCAGTAACCCTACAAAAGTCACTGCTGTTTACTTTTCTGTCTTCATTTATGTTGGAAGTGATAGCAGAGCTGTATGTTTATATTTTTCACAAATCACTCACTCAAAACGTGGTATACCATGTTTAGGTGGAAACTAGCGAGCTAACTTCCTGCTAACTTCTAACTCCGTTAAATTTAAGAAATTCTGTTTTCATGGATGCCTGGATGTTAAACTTAATTGTCACACCTGGTAAAGCAGCAACGCTGCTCATTTTATTAAAGATGAAAGAATTTAGACAGTTTGTAACTCAGTGATGCCGCAGTGTTCGTTTGACTTTGAGACCTGAAGCAGACGCAGCTTTGGACCCAGATTACTCCGCGAGGCCCTTGACTACGGTACCCGTAATCCTCCGACAATACATCAAGCGGTGCGACTTCATAGCTAAAGTTGTACTAAAAGATTTTTTGTCAGATTTTTGAGCGCTGTGTACCACATAAAATTGGTTCAAGGTCAGTAAGCACAACCGGAATTAATACTTAAGGCACACTGTGGATTTTTGAGAAAATTAAAGGATTTTAAGTATGCCTTATAGTGTGGAAAATAAATTAAGGGTGGCAGTAAAAAAAATGTTGCACAGTGGTGTTGCGCTGTCTTATCATTCATTTAAGATAGATTTTTTTCCCACCCTGATCTTGTCTCAAATGAATGCCTCACTGAACAAATCATCCACCCAGCCAGGAGTCTATCACGTCATCTGACTAGGTTCCAGTGTAGCCTAACTCAAACTCCAGATGACACTGCAGACTTCAATGAGATCCCAGACAGTGTCAAGCAAGCTGTATGTTTTGGCTACTGGTGTCCACAGAGTGCTAGAGGGATGTGAAGGCATGATCGAAGCTAATAAAGGCATCAGAGAGACAGAAAGTAAGACTTTCTTTAGTTTTTTCAGGGATCTACCAAATTCTGGTGTTTTAGGTTAGATTTATTTGACTTCCAGGTTCAATATTGTGCTCCTTCCTGATATAAGTACAAAGGGTAGTGCCACCATCGGTATGTTTTATGGTGTAACTGCTTGCTTTATATACTGCAAATATTTTGTGAAGACCTTTGTTCTTGTGAGGCTGACATACTGGTGGTGCCTTGGAGCACACCGTAAAGAGCGACGGAAGTTTCCAGGGCGTGGGGGCTTTTGTGACGCTGAGGTTGTTATGTGACTGCAGAATTTTAGCAGGTGAGAAATGGGTCACACATAAACACATGGCAAAGGCAAAGAAGATTAAATTTCAGCTGATACATTACAGTTTACTCAACATGGTTTTGGGAGCTCTGGAGACTCTACTTTTCAGCATACTGTACAGTCATCTGACACAGAAATGGACTCTATCTCCTCAGGGCTCAGTTTTAGGCTTTTGAAAATCTAGTCCCTGATTACTCCTACCACAGCTTTAGGTCTAACAAAATATTGAAATTAGAATACCAGAAAATATGTAGACTTGCCTCTAGGATCAGTGAAACTGTATCATAATTTGTTAACAATGGTTGTTAAATAATCTAATAATGCAATCTGCTGTGCTTTCTCTCGAGGCAGCATAGAGCATATATATGTAAAATTATGAGTTAAAGAGGAAGTGGACTGCTTTTAAATGAGCAGGAAAAGAATCGTTTTTGCTATTTTTGAGTCCTACTTAAAAACAATATACGGTTAAAATTACAGTCAAATGGGAAGTACAAGTATGAATCATACTGAATACGTAGTTTCTGATTCAACTACTTAAATAACGTAATGAATACCAATCAATAGCTAAGTAAATCCCACAACAAATGCTAATCTTTTTTGGTTTAAAAGCCTTAATATTGGTGACACATGTTTGAGGTCTGATATTATAAGAATAGATATGGGACAGCGTTGGGAAGACAAAAGGCATGGCAAGAATAATGATTTGTTTGTTTGGCAATATCATCGCTTATGCTGAAAATAAATGTACAGTCCTCTTATAGTCACAAGCCAATGGTAAAGAGCATATACAACCAACAACCCACCATGAAATAAATTGAGGTCTCTCGGCAGCGGGCCATAAATTCCCTCCAGAATGCTTTCAAACCCTGCAAGACAAAAATGGGAGCAATCCATCAGTGCTGATACGAACAAGTGCATGGTTTAGGGCTCCAAGATCTGAGAAAAATCTGCTCTCAAAACTGTTTACTATGTTGTCATTTTCAGGAAGACAGAACAATTTAGATGTTTACAATGAACTCTCTATAAACCTTGAAAAACACACATACATGATTACATGTAGGATGCCATTGTCACAACAGTTTAGATCAGAGGTGTCAAACATGCAGTGTGAATATTACCGTGAAGTTGTTATTACTCCCATTTAAAATTTCCTGGTGTGGTGTTAACAGCATTATTTCACAGGAATTAAAATGTAACTGTAGATACAGGCAATTTCTTTAAATCATAAAAACAAATGTAAAGGTTTATTTTGTGCCTTTTTAACTGTGATACATACAATACCAGACGATGCAAAGAACATCGAGAAATGCTGAAACGACATCAATCATCATATTTGCAAAATGACCAAAATAATTTGATGTCTGACAAAATTTTACGGGAGTCTTCTATATTTTGGGTGATGGCAGTTTTTTGCTTTGTTTAAAAAAATTTTTTTTTTTTTTAAAAAAAAGATCGAGTTTTTTTGTGACCAAATGGACAGTGGTCTTATAAATCCGGCCGACTTGAGACCGGACTGGACCGTATATGGTTCATTAGCTAAAACGAGTTTGACACCCCTTGTTTAGACGTTATACACAGTAGGAAACTGACTTACGAATAGGTGCGCCAGCCTTATGCTAACATCACCAGCTGCTGTAGCATTAAAAACTACGTTCAAATTAGAAGAGAGCCCGAGAAAAACCGTTACCGGACACCACTGAAATGAATGCTTTCCTGGCATTGCACTGACATTAGCTTACTTAACGTAACAACAACATCCTCCCGAAATAACAACAGCTTTTAGCTAAGCACTGCTATAGCATAGCCATCGAACAATAAACAATTATAACTGTATGTTACTAATATAACTGATTGTGTTATGGTACACCGATAGATAAAATTACATATCTTGGTTGGGCATATGCATTATATCTTATTGGCTACAATCCAATTTAAGACAGAAATGAAACGACCTAAGAAAGCGCTAACGCCGGCGAAGGGCTAGCAAGCGCAGACAAAAGGAGCTAGCTAAGCAGCTGTCTTGGCTTAACTGAACACTAAAAGCAGCCACATCAGTAGCTGCTAGTTAGCTAGGAACCAACACAGCTCGGGTAGCGATCCCTCTGTTGCCGGACAAAACCATTCACTACATGTTTTATTTTTTACAAAATACTAAACTGCATATGAACCATACCGACGCAGTGTATCAATTTGTAACGCCAAGAATCAAGTTCCCGCCGAAACAACTTCTTTTCTGCCATGCATCTACACTGCAGCGTCGTCATTCTTCGTCCTCTGCCCCTCTTTCTCCCCTGTTTGCGTTACAGCCGCTGTGTATTGTAACCGCTGCGGTGCATTTGTCGCCGCTACCCGATCCGTACCTGAAACCCAATCCGTACCACGCATGCGCGAACCTTACCTCACTTCCTCTCTTTGCCAACATTTCCTGGAGCACGATTAAAAAAACAAAATTTAAAAATGACCGTTGTTGTAACGCAAACAAATTACCAACATGATCAGTGCAAGCAGACTAGATGATTCATAGAATTATGAAATTACTAACGGCAAATTTATATATGAAAGACTCTGTCCCAACCCTTTCCAAGGTTTCCACTGTATCCATGCAGCCTACTGTGGAGGTCACAAAATATGGCGCTCCAGAGCGGCTGCAGCCAGACCCTTCTCAATATTTTCTGAAGAGTTGGTTCCCTTTCTTCTTGAGTATTTTGCAGAAAGCATAGGAAACCAACAACTTCCCAGTACAATGCATCAAGGTTTGACCAGGTTGATTCCAAAGCCTAATAAGGAACTATTAATATTGATAATTGGAGACCAACTAGCTTATTAAATAACGATTATAAAGCATTTGCTCTAATTTTAGCTAGTAGACTTAAGATGGTTCTTGACTCGGTTATTGATGAAACACAATCTGGCTTCCTGCCCAAAAGACACATAACTATATCAGATTGGTTTTAGATATTCTGGATTATTCTGACCTAATAAATAGCAATGGATTCATATTATTTTTAGAATTCCACAAGGCCTTCAATACAGTGGAGCATGAATTTATATTTCAAGCTCGAGATAAATATGGTTTTGGTACTTACTTCTCTTCAGTGATTATACAATAACAGTAACAACAGTATTAAATTAACAAATGGTACTTCACCCAGATTTAACATAGAAAGAGGGATAAGACAAGGCTGTCCCATTTCTCCATACCTTTTTTTGTTAATTGCCCAACTGTTGTCTAGTCATATGAAGTCAAGCAATATAGAAGGTATATGCTAATTGGCAAAGATTTACTCATAACACAGTTAGCAGATGACACCACATTATTCCTAAAAGATGAACATCAAATATCTATTGCTGTTGAAACAATCTCCACGTTTCCAAAAGCTTCTGGACTGTACTTGAATATTCCTAAATGTGAACTTATGGCAATAAAAGAATGTTCGAAAACAGCTTTGTGTAACATTCCAATAAAACAAGAAGTTCGCTATTTAGGTATTCTAATAACCAAAAACCAGGAAAGAAGAATTACTCAAAATTTCTATCCTATTCTAGAGAAACTCAAAAACAGATTTACTCAGTGACTCTTAAGAGATTTATCATTAAAAGGTAGAGTATTAATAACTAAAGTAGAAGGCATCTCTCGTCTTACATACGCAACATTGGCATTGCACCTCGATAATAAACTCATAAAAGAGTATTGATAAGTTACTCTTCAACTTTATTTGGGCGGGTGCATTACCACCACCTATTGGAAGTATGAATGAGGTGTGCGTTGAAGATCCTGTGGACCGGGGCCTCTGCCACTCGTTCACAGCACACCCTCACTATACATTTAGGTGCACCAGGTCTGTCCAGCATCCTCCTCTGCAATCTGATCCAACTCACCACCAGGTGGTCAGCCCCTCTCTTTACCCGAGTCTCCAGAAAATGTGGAGTGGTAGTATGCAGAGGAATGAGAGGTCACAGAGGTCACATATCATTCAACCAGGCAAATGATTGTTTGTTCAATTGAACAAATTGTTTACAGTGGCAAACATATGTAGGCATTTATAGATAGAAACTTTATCGAGAGTCTCTCTTGCATTAAAAAACACTAAGGGACAATCACAATGTGATTACAATATTTCAAACCACTTATTTAAGTGTCATTTAATTTATCATTTACTTAGCTAAACAAAAATGTATTTAAAACTGTGTTTCGCAAATCAGTTAAAAATGCAGACCAGATGATTGTCTACTGACCAATCAGTTCTCTGGAAAATAGAGTCACCATTTTCTGGAAGATCCCTCAGACCTCTGTATGCCGATGCTGCCACTGTCACCCCTTTCCTGTCCAACACGGTGTGGGATTGCGTGACTGCTTATCCCGACGTCCAGTGTTAGGGTAAATTAATCCAGAAATTAATCCAGAACGATACCCTGGATATGCTGAACTTGTGTCATAGTAAAGGCTTCAGGATATAGAGTGACAAAACAAAAAGTGAACTTAATTTAAAGTAAAAAAAAACAAAAGGAGAAAGAATGCAAAGGTTCAACAATGACACAAACAACCCATGCACAGGAATATAGTACACATACACAAGAAGCATTCGAGGAACAACAGAAAACCAACAAAGCAAAGAGGGGGAGAGAGGGCTGACTAAGGAAGTGATAACCGAAAGGGACATAATGTACATAATCAAGACAATCACGAGGGAGAAGTAAAACTCAAGGCACAAGCAGCTGTAAAGATCCAAGTAAAACCAGAAACAACAAGATAAAATACACAGACAAGAAAATCACAGTGATAAAAACAAAAGACCATTAAAGAGTCTCAAAACCATGAGGCAGTGATGTCCCAACATGGAAATGCACTACTACAATACTGAAACCACAGCAGTGACAGAAGATAAAACCACACAAAAATCTACACCAAAACACAATAATCGATACCTGACATGTAAGAAGACAGAAACTCCCTAAAAGAATGTGAAACTCAGACACGACAAGTCAGACACAAGTTTAAAAGCATGCCCGATATCAGGCACCACACAATTCTGTTAAGTAAGCAAACACAGACTCCTTGCCTGAACTACATGTGGACCATTTGTGCTTATAAGAATAATCAGCTCACAACAGCCCCACTCTGAGCAGGAAAACCCCTGACATTAAAACATTTGATGTGCCACAGTCAAAGGTCAGATATGTGATTTTTGATTTAGTGAGAGTAAAAAAGGAATACGTGGCATACTCGACTATTTTAAAAGTCTATTTAAACTCCTATAATTAAACTCAAATCATTGAATTAATAGCTTGTGATTTCATAAATATATTCGCTGTGATGTTTTTTGTTTTTTTAAATATCGGAACAATTCTGCACACAGCATCTGGTGTTTGGCATGACTAAGAAGGATGCGCGACACACCACAGAGTAGTTTTTGTGCAGATTTGACATAAAATGCAGACCAAAGCTGTTCCTGTGTGGTTACTTACTCACAGCACATTTAATGGAGACATTGTTAATGCTAAAATATACCTAACATTGAGTGTTATGCAGCTGTACTGTATAATGCAGCGCTATTGCAAGGGAGTAAATATTACCCTTGAAAGAGGAAGAAAGACCCTTATGAAAAGGACACCGAGGGAACAGTTTACCCTGCCCGGGATAGGGTTACCGGGGCCCCGCCCTGGAGCCAGGCCCGGGGAGGGTGCCCGAGG